GTGTCCCTGACTAACAGAGCTTAAATTACATTACTATTTTACCAGCTATTTATTGTATCAATTCTTATTGTTTAAGATCCCAGAAATTAAATATTTAGCTATTAATCCCGATTTAGGAACTTATTATGCTCTTTTTGAAACCCAAGCAAAATATGAATTCACTCCTTACCTGAAACCAATTCAACCACAGCTAATTATTGATGTAGCCAAGGAGACCACACCAAAGCCAAAGTCGATAAGGAAAAATTAGCCCAGTATTTTATTTCGCATTTAATTACATATAATTATAGCAAATTAAATTATTATAATACTTTAAATGGCCAGCAATTATTATACGTATTAGTTTAGATCCTGCTGACAGTACCTTATTTTGACAGTTAGTTCACAGATAAGTTTATTTTATAAAATTAAACCTATCTGAATTAATTATCTATAAAATAGACTTTTCTGTGATCTAACTATTTGTGAATAAGGTGTCTATGGATTATAACAACTTATAGAATTTCATTCCACTAATGAAGTAATTATAGCTTTAGATTGTTTTTGAAACGAGCAAAATGAGCTAATAATTTGATACCGGCATGGAGTGGTTTATACTCCTAAATTACTCTAAAATATAATACTAATTAACATGATAAAAAGAAATTAATAACTTACTTAAGTTTCCAAGTGATAAATTAGAATAAATAGCTTATCTTAATAATTATTAACTAAGTTAGGGGAAGTTGTCAGCAAAGTAATTGACAAAATGGTAAGGTATGTATGTGTATTTGCTAAGAACCGGGTTGATAATGAATTATTAATTATTAAAGTAGACGAATTAGTGTCACAGAGTCACCCAAAATACTATATTTGTTGACTTCTACTATCGGTATTTAACTCGCTTGGCTATTATACTATTCATTAAGAATAAAAGTTAGAGATATCGGGAACCAAAGTTAGGCACTTCCCCTATTTGGATGCCTTATATTATTACTATCGCTAATAATTACTACATTGTTCATGCAATACTAATTGCTAATGATTACTACATTATTAATGCAATCACTCTTTTAGACTTTTAATTAAATCGTGATCACGCTATTCATGCAAATCCCGATCCGATTACATGGTATCGTGCAGCACTACGACAATTAGCTTTAGTAATTTAGTATAGTTTGGCCCTTTATGCTAACAACGGCCACACTGGTTACTTAGTTCATTAGAAATAGTTCAGTTTACCCTGGTAATAAGTGGGTAATCTTATGTCAATATATATACGATATATACAGTGCATATATGCGATTACTTATATGCTTCTATATAGTGGTTTGTAAACATATTCTTTACCTTATTTATTTAATTGTGATTTTATAAAGGGATAATATATAATTTATTTATTTTTAAATTGCGTATTTAATATATATATATATATAATATATGTCATGACTTTACATATATATTATTCAAGATCTTGAACTAATTCTTCTAAATTAAATTCATGATCTTCATTCATAGCGACATCAGAATTGACATTGTCTTCATTAGAGACATACAAATCCCCTACTTGATTAAACGCTTGATGATGCAAATCTACAACGTTATTAATAACAAGAACTACTACTTGATGATTAGGAATCTCTAAATCATCATCCGATTCTCCATTATTTTCATCTTCATAGTCTTCGCTTATATCATTTTCATCCTCGGCATCAAACAGATAAGACCTTTGAATTAATGCTACTAATTCATCTTCAGTTTTGTTTTTCACATTATATGATAGCTCTTTACGCGTATTAAGTAAATTATAATGTCAGATTTTAGTAAGTGATTCTAAATTTTTTAACCCCAATCGTTGTCTTTTTTTACCATAGAACCAACCCAAAATAGAAAAAATGCGTTCACATGACGCGCTATGTGGAGTTATTGCAAAAATTTTTTTGGCCAAAATTTTAAGATTATCGAACTTATCTTCAATAAAGCTCCACCATATAAAAGGTGTCATCACTTGGCTATCATATCCAACATTGTATGGAAATTCTTTTTCCTTAAATTTGATAATTTGAGCAATAAGAGTTTGTGCAGATAATTTATCTTTGTATCCCATCGATTGCCATAATTGTGCAGCATAAAGGGTAATTTGTGTGTACATTCCCTTTCTTAAACCAGCGCCTATAAAAAAAAAATTCAATTATTAAACATACAAATATAAATATACTAAAAATGTTAAAGAATAATATATATATATACCTCGATATTCAGGATGCAGCATATATGC